CTGAACGAGAGTGTGCCGGGCCAGGAGGCCAGCAACTAAGAGCCCCCCACAAAAGGCAAGGCTGGTGGTAGCAGGGCTAGGCGCTCAGCAGACAGGCAGCGGTAGCAGGGCCGTGGTAGTGGGGCATGTGCAACCCATATGTGCTGGCCCGGCAGTGTGGCTGTGCTGCAGCAGCCTGAGTGGGGCTGCGTGCTGGCCCGGCAGGTAGTGAGCCTTGGTCACAGCAGCCCGGCAGGGAAGCCTATCTGGGGCAGCAGCAGGTTGGCAGCTCAATCGAGGCTGTTTGCCAGCCAGCAGCGGGACTGCTGCCGCAGCAGCAGACCTAGGGCTGCATGCTGCCATGCTAGGAGTGGGGCTGGAGCAGCAGCAGCTATGGCAGTGGGGCCAGAGCAGCTGTGTTGCCCGGCCAGCAGCGGGCCGAAGGAGCTGGCAGCAGAGAGAGGCTGCAGGCTGAGTGGGTCAGAGGCATGTAACCTTCCTTGGCCTGGTAAATTCCCTCATCCGGGACCACTCAGGTCCTGAGGGTGCCAGAACAGTGAGGTCCACTCTATAGATTCCCAAACTGACAAATGCAGATTTAAGTTCTATTTGGGTTTGATGCTTTATCGTGTCTTTCTCTTCTAGTATAGCCACACACTTCCAACAAAAGAAACTTTTGTTAATGTCTATCAGTACTCATTCATGTGAATGGAATTCTTCCCATTGATTTCAATGGATTTAGGATCAATTCCTGTAACAGCAACATTTTCTTGGAAGGGCAGGAATATACTGTACCACTGTAAGCATAGGCAAAATAAGTTAAACTTTGACTTATAAACTTTAATCTATAGAAACACAATGGAAAGTAAAACTCTTCACTTACATTTTCATGTGTCATGTGCTTAAGCAACCTAAGCTCCCGATAGGTCCTTCTTGCATGAATTAGTGACTGAAAAGGTCTTGAAAGCTTTTTTACTGCCACCTTCTGTCTTGTTTTGGTATCATAAGCTGAACTAAGAGACAATTTTAAAAAGATTAAAAATACCCTGGCATCAATAGGCAAGGCTTCATAATGTAACAGTCCAAAGGTTATGATTCTATTTCCTGCTTTATCACCTGAAACTCACTCATTGATCTCTGGTAGGAGAGTTATTTGGAGACAACCTCCAATATTCAAAGATACCACTTTTGCAATCTTACTAACAAATTATCAACTCCTAATGATATTGATCATCCCTAGGTATTACCCTGTCCCCATCTGGTATGGAAAATAACCAGAGAATTAGCTTCATTAATTTTGCTTTCCAACCCCTGCCCAAACTCAAGATGCTCTTAGGGAATATAAGGATTTCAACTGCAGTCCTTAGTAGACAGACTGGAGCCTTTACTAATTATAGGGAGGCTGCCATGCAGTCTGGCAAATATTAATTATTGTTTAGTGACTATTTACATGGTCTGTGACACCTTCAGAGATCTACTGATACCAAATTAAAATTTCAAAATAGCCACCATCAAGAATAAAAAAGTTGCCTCAGGAGCCATTACTAATAAACGAATCACCAATATAAATGCATGCACATGCAATTAAGGCTTCAATCCCACGAAAATTTAAATGTGCACTTAATTTTGAACACTTGAACAACTCACTGTCATCAGTGGGAGGGCATAGAGTTAAGCATGTATATAACCATTTGAAGGAACAGGGACTTAATTTTCAGTACAGTAGCAAGCCTGTAACAAATAGCAAGCCCCAAACAAATACTGCAATAAGGGGAAACAATGGTTCTTTTACATTTCATTTCCTGACAATACACAGGACATTTGAAAACTACTTATGTGGCTCATCAATAGTGAAACACTAGTTTACCTATTGAATACCATCTCTGCATTTTTACTTTCCCACTAAAATAAATTCAGTTCAGCTAAAAAGAAATTGTGAAGTTGTCTACTGAAAGTGTTGATAACATAATCCACAGTTGCTGGAAACAGCAGGAGCATAAAGAGAAAGCCCCATTCGTAAGCTGCTCCGGTGCCCCTGGTCTGCTGGAGACCGTCTCCAGCAGACCAGGGGCACCGGGCGGATTCCCGCGCTTCTGAGGCTTTGCCAGAGCAAAGCCTCAGAAGCGCGGGGAACCGCCGCTGCTGCCGCTTCAGTCCCCTGCCTGTGGTCTGCTGGGGACGGTCCCCAGCAGACCACAGGTACCGGGACTGAAGCCGCAGCGGGCTACCTTGTTCCACTTCCCCTGCTTCTGCTGACGAGTGCAGAGGAGGGCGGGGGACTGGACCTTTACTGCTGACACCAGCCCTGCTGGTCCACGGCGCTGCTTTGGTTGGGGGGAAGAGGAGAGGCAGGGAGAGGACAGCGCAAGAGAGGGAAGAGTAGAGCAGAGGTGAAGAGGAATGGTCCTGACCCTTCCCTGTGTTGGGGGAGGAGTTGCATGGCTGGTGGTCCCCCAGATGGCCTCTGACCATTCCCCTGTGGTAGAACCGCATGTGAGCACATGACCAGAGCTTCTCTGAGCTGCCATTTCCCCAGCCAGAGGGAGTAGGGGATGACATCAGAATGAAGAACCACTTCCTCTCCCCTGCTAGGCAGAGCCCGTGGGCCCGATGCAGCCTGTAACTTGCATTGATCCAGCCTGTTACGCTTGGGATTCCGGACTCCATAGCAGGACAAGCCAGCTCTGGCTTGCTCTGTTGTGGGAAGAGAGAGCCCAAGCCTCGTGGGCCGGATCAAGACATGCCGCATGCTGGGCCATAGGTCCCCATCCCTTTAACTAGATACAAATTTAATCACTAGCAGAACTTAAAATTATCGATAAGGTGAACTGATTTCGAAAGAACATGGTTTTCAAAGAAGAATAAATAAATTAAAACTAAATAAATATTTAGCTACCAGATTGCAGAAAATATCTCAAAAGTAAGTGACATGTTATTGCATATACAGGCAGTCCCCGACTTACGCGGATCCGACTTACGTCGGATCCGCACTTACGAACGGGGCTTTGACTACAGGAAGCCCCAGGCAGAGTTGCTCTGCCCCGGGCTTCCTGGAATCAGCTGCTGATCAGTTTCAGCAGCAGCTGACTTGGGGACGCCTGGGGTTCTTAAGTTGATTCTGTATGTAAGTCAGAACTGGCGGTCAGTTTCAGCAGTGTCTGAATCTGGACGCCAGTTCCGACTTACATACAGATTCAACTTAAGAACAAACCTACAGTCCCTATCTTGTACGTAACCCGGGGACTGCCTGTATGTGTAAGAGTGAGATGACAATAGTAAATAGTCATACTGTGAAATATTATTAGTTACTATTTTAATGGCTCCCAAAACTGTGTTAAGAGCTCCCCCACAAAGAAATAAGATGCCAAAAGTAGTTTACAAGCGAATAATTGGCTCCTGTATTTCCTGTGGGTGGAACTCCACATTTGCATGGCACCTCACTGAATTGAATAGAGCTCCATGTAGAGTGGAGGTCTACTCATCCGACGCCCAATGCAAGATCAGGACCTTTTTCCTGACAAGACGCAAAAAGGGGGCAAAAAAAGCCAACATGGAAAAGTAGAGGCAGAAGAACCAGGGCAATGTCAGTAAGGTTATACAGCTCAAGTTATGTCAGATTACACAGAAACTCAGCAAAGGCCAAAGCAGATGAATTTGTTTTAATCAGTTACACTGAAAGAGGAAATAGACTTAATCAGCACAATTTTTGTAGGCATCAGAGAGTGAGTCAATCATGAGATAAGTGATGATTTAGTCAGTTTGTAAGCCTCACAGAACTGGATCTTCAAGAGGGATTTAAAGGTGGAGAAGGTAGAGGCATTGCAGAGCACTCCAGAAAACAGGCTGCACCACTAAAGGGAAGAATGGAAGAAAGCACAGGCAGTTACAGGAGAAGGCTGGCATCTCTGGCGAGGAGGAACAGGCAGAATGATACGATGAGAGATTTGGCCTGACAAATAGGGAGGAGGCAGTTATTTAAGATGACATGGAAGCCACAATTTGATGTGTGGCTAGAGCAAGGGGGTGGGGGTGTTAGACATGGGCTGCTGGGCTCAGAAGTACAGGCAAGGAAAGTGGATTTATTTTGTGGTTAGGTTTTTCATTACTGGAAAAGGGAAAAATGTGGACAGGAGCGAGTCCTAAAGAGAAATATATAGTCACATGTCTCAATAGCACATTGAGGACTGGACCCAAACTCGAGGGTGAAATCCTGATCCCACTGAAGTCAATGAATGAGCTATATGAATTTCAATGGGCCAATACTTCACCCCATCTCTCTTCAGAAATACCTATGCTTCACTTACATTCTAGTGCTTTTAAACTTTGCACATTTGTGAGAAAGGAAATGGATGCACAGGTGGTTTAACACTTACTGCCATCTACTGCAGAGCACTGCCTAGCAACTAACCTTATTTGTGCCAATGCATGAACCTCCTCTCATACTTTCCCTGGCACATGAACGTCTTCTCTAACTTGGGCATTCTCAACAAGGGCTTAGGAAGATCCGTAATTCTGATAAACATCTTCTCCCCCACTTCAGTTCAGTAGCTTGATAAACATTCAACTTAGAAAAACAACAAGCAGCCCTGTGGCACCTTAGAGACGAGACGAGACTCTCTCTCTCATATAGAAACATGGGCTTTCTTGGGTAAAACCCAATTCATCATTTCTGGCACTTGATGGCACATTCAACATTAGAGGATGTGCAGTTGTATGAGCCCCTGATGTTGTGGCTCATATGGTTAGGTCCTGTGATGGTGTCACTTCTATAGATTTGTGGACAGAGTTGGCAATGCGCTATGTGGCAGGTATAGGTTTCTGGCTGAGTGTATCTTAGGTGTGATGTGTGGCTGCTGTTAAGTATTTGCTTCAGGTTGGGGGGAGTGTGGGATTGGCAATCCAACTATGTATACATAAAATGTCTGGTTTATGTGATTTATGCTTATCAATTGCATTACATGATCACTTTGAATTTTTGGTTTCTTTCGGTGTGCTTCTGAAACAGTTCAGGACAAACTAATGATTTTATTTTACATACAAAATTTACAAACATCACTGTCTTGGAAAGGACCAAGAAGAGACTGCTCTTAAAGCAGCCTCTGTTTAATGGCGGTGCCAATTTTTCTTATCAGCCTCTTGTAACTACTTAAACAATCTACTCGCTGTCTTGCCCCTCCCCCTTTTTCCTTATTTAATCTTGGATCTGGACTTCTAATACTCCAGTCATCTGAAGAAGTGGATTGTGCCCACGAAAGCTCATGATTACCATCTACATATTTTGTTAGACTTTAAGGTGCTACTAGATTTTTTGTTGTTTTTTAAAGTTTTTCTTGTTACAGAATAACTTGGCTACTCCTCTGAAACTGTTTAATGAATTATGGAGCATAGTCTTGGGAAAGAGCACATGCGCCATCAATCCAACCACAAGGAAATTTGCTGCGAGAGCAGCTAGCAACATGGCAGAATCAATTCCTGTCCTAATTTACAGAAGCAAGCATTTCCCATTGTCAATTTTTGATAAGCAGTGCCAACACACAACATAAACACAGGGAACTGAAGTATTCCCTTGATCTCTCACCCCCAAACTAATGCTTTATTATTTTATATCAGTTCAAAGAAATTAGTGAATGCAACTTTCAGAGAGACGATTTACCAGACAAAGCACAGAGTGCTTCTTTGTCTACTAGGAAATACACAATTATGCACAAGTACATGCATAAGAATAAATATATAAAAATATGAAAGACAGCTAGACAACAGGAGAGAGGATGAGTAATAGTTTGCAGCGAAACAACATACTAATCTCATTGCTACAGGAACAACCCTTAGTTCACCTGATAAACAGAGCATTATCGCATCACTATAAAACCCTAATATATCATTTGGATACTGTTCCAACTTTCCTTGCTTATAAGATATGTAAGAACTTCAGCTTTACTTTAGTTCCAGCACAAACAATGCCAATTATTTAGGATGAATTTACAGCTAGCATCTGAATGCCAAAGCAGGTATC